GGCAGTACTCTCAGCGCGAACTGGACGCCGTCGAGGTCTTCTTCTCCCGCACGGCTCGCGACAACCGGCTGGGGTGCATGTTCGTGCGCTGCGCGCCCTCCAGCCGCTACACGTTGCTCTTCTCGCACGGCAACGCCGTGGACTTGGGCCAGATGTGTAGCTTCTACATCGGCCTGGGCTCGCGCATCAACTGCAACATCTTCTCCTACGACTACTCGGGCTACGGCGTGAGCTCCGGCAAGCCCTCCGAGAAGAACCTCTATGCCGACATCGACGCCGCGTGGCAGGCGCTGCGCACCCGGTGAGCCCCGTGCCGCGGGTGGGGTGCGGGCTTGTGCTTTCGGATCGTTGCGTTCGCTCGGGATGGCCAGCACTCGGGGCTGGAGAGCTCAGACTTAACTGGCCCGCGCGGCCTGGAGTCTTTGTGGCTCCGGTTAAACGCACGTGGCCGCCGTGGGGGTGCTAACGTACGGGCGAAACCAACTTGGTTTGGATTGAGTTGTGTGATGAACTACTTTCAGACCCCGAAGGTCTGGTGGAAGTGACCTTGGGGTTTCAAGTGCCTGTGAAAGCAGGGGCGAGACGTTGACCTCTAAAAGACTTTCCGAGTAGAAAGTATCCCTGGGGCGACGTCTGAACAGCCATCAAGGCACGGGAGGGTCGGGTGTGGCGAGGACTTTGCCTCTGGTGAGGCAGAGTAGCTGGCACCAGGAGATCAGGAAGTTCGCCTTGTTGGCACCTTCCCAAAGCCCCACCAGTGGCACAGGATGTCTCAGAGGCCTAAGGGAATCTGTTGACCTTGAGTTAGCGTTCAGAGAACTGGAAAGTGTTTTTTGAGGGTCTTTTACATGCCAGGCATAAATTGTCATAGTCTGACAGGACAGGTGGGGGGGGGAAGAAAAACGCCTGAGTTGTACTCTAAACTTAGACAAACGTTTGGTTTGTGGGAGAGTCAAGTGCTGTATCCTGTTGGGTGCTTCTGACCTTTCCCACGTAATCCCTACAGCACAGGTGGCAGCCGTACCAGAGGTCTTGTCCGTAATGAGCTTGGATTTCTTTAGAGTCCCCAGAATTAGGGCTAGGCACTGTTGTTGTAAGAGACCTTTGAGTAGTTCTCATGAAAAGTCTTATTTGCTTGCTGGGCTCAAGTGAATGGCCAATAGTAATGATTTTAGTTGCACACATGTTCATAAATTTTCCCCTGTGCTTGTGGGGAGATGGCTTGTATAACAGAAGTACTTAGTATTCAGTCTGTGCTACTTGCTCAAATTCTTCTGGATTTTGGAGATAACCCTCAACTGGAGCATAGCTTTTGGAAAACGATGTAGGTGGATGAGGCCGCAGATGTCCTCATGGACTGGCTAAGAATCCACAAGTCATTACATGCCACCTGTTCCAAGAAAGGCTTTCAAAAGCATGCGTCACAAGCAGGGAGTGGTGGTGTGTGATATGCCCCAGCACTCAGGAGGCAGAGGCTAGCCTGAGCTACGTGGTGAGTTCTAGGTTGGCCAGGACTACAATAAGACCTAGCCGGGAAAAAGTATGTGGGCTAGTCGGATGGCTCAGCGAGTGGAGGATGCTTTGCAGGGCAAACCTACTCTCCTGTGTTTCTTCATGGAATTCAAAGGCGGAAGGAGAGAACTGGCTCTCCCAGGCTGTCCTGTCACCTCAGTAATTGTACCCACACACGCCTTTCCTATATACACACTGGTTTTTTTTTTTAAAGTTATTTTTAAAAAGCACATGTTGCAAATCTTGAACTACTAGAATCTGCTGTAGTGTAGGTATTAAAAATAAATTTTGGTACTAGATGTTTGAAATTTCTATAAAAATTCCTACAGAACATTCCTCCTATGTGGGCCTGTCTTTATGGAAATGAAAGCCTTTTATAGGGTTGCTCCATCACTCTGAGTGTGTGTATGTGTCTGTCTTACCACGTGGGTGAGGTGTAGTTACCTTCTGCAGTCTGTTGAATATAAGAAGCATTATTTGGGGATAAATTAAAATTTTGAATTGCCTAGTGATAGCTCTAAATTTTGCTTGTGGGTTATTTAATGTTATACTAGAACTCATATCTAAAATAAGTGAATTTTTTGTTAATTTTCAGTTTCTTAAACTTTTTGGAGACAGGGCCTTGTGAATCAAACTGACTTCAAACTCACAATGTAGCTGAGATTGGCCATCACTTCCTGCCTCTACTTCACAAGTGCAGGTATTACAGGTGGAACACCCACTCCTGGTTCCCAGAGTCTTAGAATCTGAAGACACCTCACAAATCCTCTTGTCCCGTGCTTTCCCAGCCTTTAGACTGCCTACAGTAGGACGCTTGTTCTACATCTTGATCATGCTTCTGCAAACACGTTCATTCGTGGCTGCATATCTGAACCAAATGTTTCACAAAGCAACCCCCCCTCAAGTGGGTGCTTTGCATAGCAGAATGTGTTCTGTTTTATTTGACATACAGTGTTGAGAGTATTTCCCAGCACCCGTGTGGGTGCTGCTTCCATCCGCCCACCCCACCTTGACAGAAGGATAATCTCACAGCCAACCAGCAAGTCTCCTGACTGATACTTTAGAGCTCTTCCACCCTGGCTTTGTAGTCATTGGATTTCTCAGATGTGTGAGTCTGGCTTATTGTGATCTAGGTGTTGCCTGATTCTGAGGCTGATCAGGCTTCCTCTAGGTCTAAAGACCCCCTTCCTTTAGCCTAGATTACCCTCTGTGACCCTTTCGTCCATTTCTGCGCCTTCCCAGCTCTGTTGAGGTCATTGCTGTGCAAGGACATCCATCTCCCTTCCACCAGTGCCAGTTCTTCTGGGTTGATTCAGAACCCCTCTTCCAAACCCACCCTCTCCGTTTCTTCTTCTGACTTCCTGGTTAATCAGAGGTCACAGATACTTAACTTCCTCTCCAGTTGTCTGTTCTGTCTGTAGATTATTTCCTGAAAAATAACTTGTTTGAGTCAGAGCTATAGGCAGCCCCAGAGTTCCAGGCACAGGACCATGCCCTTCCTGAGTACCCTTCGTGTTAAGAGTATTGATCTGCCGGTGTGGTGGTGCACACCTTTAATCCCAGCACTCGGGAGGAGGCAGAGGCAGGTGAATCTCTGCAAGTTCAATGCCAGTCTGGTCTTCAACGTGAATTCCAGGACAGGCTCCAAAGCTACGCAGAGAAATCCTGTCTCGGGTGGGGGAGCAGGACAAGTATTGATCCTAGTTGGATCCTAGTTGGATATTAGATTCTTTGTGTCCCCATCTGGTGGCTCGTGTGTTGAAGGTCTGGTCCGCAATATGGTGTTCAGAAGTAGAGTCTTGGGAGAAGTGATGGGACTATAAAGGCCCAACTTAGCCAACAGATGGACCTGTTGATAGTTCTTAGTCTAATGGACTTTTCAGAGGTGGGGAACCTAGAAGCCGGGCCTGATTGGAGGAGAAATTGTTTCACCATTGTGGCTCCTTAGTCTCTGCTCCCTGTTTTCTGACTGCAGTGGGGGTGGTGGGTGGGTGGGTGGGGACAGCTCTCTTCTCTCATTCCTTTCTTTCTTAGTATTTTTCCTTGGGCCTAAAAGCAACAGAGCCAGCAGAGCCTGGATGGGCTGAAGGCTTTGAAACCGTGAGCTAAAGTAAATCCACCCCAGTACCTGTCATAGCAACCAGAACTGACTAACACGCTTTTGCACCTGGCACTCAGTTCTTCGCTTGTGCTTGTGTGTTTAATCGAAAGTTCCTTGAGGGAAGGACCTCTGTCTCTCCTCTGTTCCCAGAAGCTAGCATTGGGCCTTAAAATATAGACCCTGATTCAATATTTGTTCAGGGCGTTTCATTTATATAGTGAATTGAGTGCTCTCTAGATGACCACCAGTCGCAGAGTTGGATCTCATATTCCCTCCAGAGGTTAGTGTCTGAGGGCACAGCCATCCACCAAAAAGGGGAGGATGGGTGTTCAGATGTGTTGGCTAATGGTCTTAGCTACGTTCAAGCTGTTCTTAGGACGTTGTGGTGTCTGTGTTGAAGAAAAGAATGTTCTCATTCTTCATTTGTCTTCCGTCTTCGTCCATTACCTGTTTGTGCGGCTCCGTGTGTTATTATTGTGATGTTAATAGAAAGTGGGATTTCTCCCCAGTGTGCAGATCCCACCTGTGTGGATAAAGGCAGGAAATCCCTTTTCTAAAAGGTACAGAGGCAGAAAGGGTGATTTGCTATTTGGGAAAGGTTTGTTTTAAGGATTTTAGCATTTTATGAAAAAGAGTGTTTGAGAGAGGTAGGGCTTGAAGCTGCTAGAAAGTGTAAGCTAGTGAGGAAGAAGACGGTTGGTATTGCGACCGTTAACTTGAGTCTGACGGAGAGCGCCAGGATACCGATGCATCAGCTCTGCATCCTGTGGTGGACAGGTGTGCCATGAATTGCGAGCAGCTGCAGGCTTTGAAGCATTTGTAGAGAGGACACTGTCAATCCTGGGGACTTGTTGGAGCCTGTGGTGTTGCTTGAGTTGGGGGAAGAAAGTGGCTGATGTGTGCAGGGCAGGGTGAGACTAGGCGGACCTACGCTCTCTGCATGCCCTTTAAGGAGACATCTCTTGGCAAGAGCAATTGGACACTGTAGATGTTTGACTGCAAATGAGTGGGAATGGACCCATATAAGCAACCCCCAAGAATGAGGGGCAAAGTAGGCAGAGTATTTTAGCTGAGTGTTCTGATCTAGAGACCCAGACAGTGGCTCATGATTTGGTTTGTTAGTGTTATTTACTGATGTCATCCGTAGAAGTCACTTCTGAGCCTTTTATTTGACGTAGGTGGCAAGGACAGTGGAGGAGAAAGGCATTTGGTAACAGAGAAAGCAGGTGTAGAGAGGGGAAGATGAAAAAGCTTTTGCGCCTTGGTTCAAAAGACAAATTAAAAAAAAAAAAGACCCAATGTTCATTCCGTCAGCAAATCATGTATTAGCCATTGCCTGTCTGTTTCTTTCTCTGACAACTGAATTTAGAAGCAACCAAACATGTATCCACATGCTGTTTGGTAACTTTAATGTCTGCCATTCATAGGATCTGTGATTTGGGAAATCCTGTGACAGACAGTAGAACTGTGGGAACACAGGCGGTGGGGGCTTGAAAGGCACCTTCTGTTGGTTTTGGATACTATTTAAAATTGGCACTTACAGGGTGTAATTGTCCTCAAGAGAAACACAGCTCGCCTTTTCTGAGCATGGTGAAGTTGGTAGTATAACCTCTTTGTTCTCAGAAGGAACACTGTGAGTCAGTAAGGGAAAAAGCTTAGGGTTTCCACCCGACTCTGCTCAGTAGTAC